CCAGAGCCCGGCCCCCCCCGGCCCAGACTCCACCGGCGGCGAAGCATCAGGCCACCGACACTTCGACTCCGTCGCCGGCGGTCGGAGCACTAGAGGATGAGTTCTTGGACGAGGATGTGTTCCTTGACGAAACCCTATTGTACGGCGAAGAGGACGAGGATTCGCTCATCCTCCGCGATATGGAGGAGCGTGAAGCGATTGCTTCGCGGTTGTCGAAATGGGTTCGACCTCCGGTCTCATCTGCTTTTCTCTCTCACTCGCAGAACATCGGTTAAGTATATCTTACTAAAAAATTCTAGGGTTTTGATTCGGAAATCTTATGGTTCTGTGAATCGCTGATTTTTTTTCCTTTGTGGTGTTGATGGGTCAGTTTTCCAGCAATTGGAGATTGATTATGTGATTGGGGAGAGCCACAGGGAGCTCTTGCCTGGTTCGTCAGGTCCAGCGGCGATCATTAGGATTTTTGGGGTTACAAGGAAAGGTGTGTTCTTTAACCATTCTCCTTTATGGACAAATTAGTAGCCTCTTGTGAAATATAATTATCCCGAAATTGTGCTTGTTAGAGCGACATCTGAGGTACTTGGGAACTAGTTCGTTTTTTGTGCCTCGTGTGTTGAGTGTCCGGTCTTTTTTGTTTTATCTTCTCTGTGTTCTGTTTTAACTTGTGTGGGAGGCTCCAATTCGGTTCAGATCCTCCGTCCATCTTGAGATATTAACATGGGGAGTTCTTCTTACCGTCTTGGCTTGATATTGTCTAGAAAAATCATTGCTTATTGCTTAAGTTGTGGCTTTCATTTCTTAGCATCAGGAGAAATGTATTTCTTCATTAAGTTTAGAGAGTTGAGGAATATGCCCCTTATTGATAATCATAATTTGACAGGTCAGAGCGTATGTTGCCTTGTTCATGGATTTGAACCATACTTCTACATTGCTTGCCCCCCTGGAATGGGAGCAGATGATATCTCTCGTTTCCATCAGATTCTTGAGGTATTTAGGTCAACATATTTTTTAGTTTGTTTTAATTTTTATCTTATTTACCATCCATTGGTTATGCTTAACTCTCTTGTTATTGCTTTAGGGAAGGATGAGAGAATCCAGTAAAAATAGCAAGATCCAAAGATTTGTCTGTCGAATAGAAGTGGTGCAGAAACAGAGCATTATGTATTACCAGCAACAAAAGTCTCAACCTTTCCTCAAGATTGTAGTTGCATTGCCGACTATGGTTGCTACCTGCCGTGGTAAAGCAATATGATACCTTGTATACGACTTGGGTTTCACTGAATTAATGGTTTTGCATTCTCTTCACCAAAAATGTTGTTACGTGATACTGATTTTGATACTGGGTTTGATAGGTATTCTTGATAGAGGCATACAAATTGATGGTTTGGGTACGAAGAGCTTTAAAACATATGAGAGCAATGTCCTTTTTGCTCTTCGCTTCATGATCGATTGCAATGTTGTTGGTGGAAATTGGATCGAAGTGCCTGCTGGGAAATATAAGAAGGCAGCAAAGACTTTATCATACTGCCAAATGGAGTTTGATTGCATGTATCCTCATCTATATTTTGGTTTTAGTAGTATTATCTTTTTCTATTACTGGATTCTACTAGCCTACTTGATTGCCTTCTTTAACATGGATTTAGGTACTTAGATTTGATCAGTCATGCTCCAGAAGGTGAATACTCAAAAATGGCTCCCTTCCGTATTTTAAGTTTTGATATTGAGTGTGCTGGTCGTAAAGGACACTTTCCGGAGCCTAAGCACGATCCTGTAATCCAGGTTAGATGGTTTTACAACTTCTATGTTAAATACATGATTAAACTCCTAATATTTCTCTGGTATCCTTGTCTCAGCCCCTCGACAATAACATTTGTGTTTTTTTTTAGGTTGCCAACCTCGTTACTCTACAGGGAGAGGATCAGCCATTTGTACGTAATGTCATGACTCTTAAGTCATGTGCTCCAATTGTAGGCGTAGATGTGATGTCTTTTGAAACAGAACGAGAAGTCTTGCTAGCCTGGAGGGTATTGTTTTGGCCTCCTATCTTTTTTCTCTGTTGTACCTGTGTTTCTTTTTCTGTTCCCTGGCATGCTATTGAAAAACCTGTATTGCCCTTTCAACTGACATGTAAGATGTTTTGTTTGCAGGACTTGATTCGTGAAGTTGATCCTGATATCATAATCGGTTATAACATTTGCAAATTTGATTTACCTTATCTTATTGAGGTACCTTAGGCATTGCCATTTCTTCTTAAATATTGTCTGTTACATCACACCTCTTTAATAGACGCTTTCAAATATGGTGTTCGAAATCTATTATGTTGTGTTTTCACTGAGTTTTTATCTTGAAGAAGTTTCATGTGCTGTTTCCTCATTTCCAGAGAGCCGAAACCCTTGGAATTGCGGAATTCCCTATCCTTGGTCGTATAAAGAACAGCAGAGTTCGTGTCAAGGATACAACATTTTCATCAAGGTGATATGTAGGAAGTTTGTCAGCTGGATTTTTTAGTTCTTTTTAGTTTGTCACTTTAACTCTTGCTTTTTGTTCCACTTCAGTTCTTTTTTGTTATAAAGATGCAATGCAATGGTTTGGATTTTATTTGTAGCTTATACCCTAATGTTCCTGCTTTTTGCATTTGGTTGTAACTCATACATTCTCTCCTTTAATTTATTCTCCGTATCTTGAGTTGTCTTGCTATATTTACATGGCTTGTAGTAACGTGTAGTCATGTTGCAGACAATATGGAACTAGGGAAAGCAAAGAGGTTACAATTGAAGGGAGACTTCAGTTTGATCTGCTTCAGGTTTTTGCACTAATCATTGTGTTTTTGTCCAGTCATTGTTTGATGGTTTTATTTGCAAATGGTTGTACAGATATCGAGCTCCTCTTACTTTGTTTATTGCAGGTGATGCAAAGAGATTACAAATTGAGTTCTTACTCGTTGAATTCCGTCTCAGCACACTTTCTTTCTGAGCAGGTGAAGCTTCTTCTAATTCTGTATTTCCCTTGTTGGGTATGGGTGTTTGCGGTACTTTTGTTGAAAAGACCATTGTGAGGCTGCTTTTCTGAGCCAAATTTTTTTCCAGGTTTATTTTATTGCCTCGGTATATGGCTAACCTGTTTGTCATGTTCAGAAAGAAGATGTCCACCATTCAATCATATCTGATCTTCAGAATGGAAATGCAGAAACACGGAGGCGGCTTGCCGTTTACTGTTTGAAGGTAAAAAAATGCCTGTATGTTTGTATTTGAACAGCTTTGCGAGTAGAAATTATTTCATCTGAATAGGTTTATTTAAATCCCTAATGTTCAAATGGTTGGATAGTTTTTTATGGTTTTGATTGATGTTCTTGCTCTGAGATCTTAGTGTATAACATTCATGAGTTCTAGAGTATATTGGAAGAGAGGTACCCTTGAGGGACTTTCTGTAGTGGTAGGTGATGGAATTTTTCTGATTAAATGCTTTTTTATTTCTCATGGACATGGAGTGAGTGGAAGCTATTTTGACACATTAATAGAATTCTGGCTTTTGCTATGGTTTGCAGTCTTACTGGGACTTTTCATTTCAATAACTAAGTCTTCTCATGCTTTATGGTTTCACTTTTTTATTTCATTTGTTTGTTTCTGATCTACAGTCTGAATCTTGTAGGAGAAAGTAAAGCTAAAACTAACCACATTTCACTTTGCTGCTGCAGGATGCATATCTTCCGCAGAGGCTCTTGGACAAATTGATGTTTATATACAATTATGTTGAAATGGCTCGTGTAACTGGTGTCCCTTTCTCTTTTCTTCTTTCTAGAGGACAGAGCATCAAGGTAGCTTACAAGAAATAAGTGTTTGACTATTGTTTGCTGACGAGGGTTGCTGATTATGTCGTATTTTAACATTAAACATTTTCTACCAGGTCCTATCTCAGCTTCTAAGGAAAGCTAAACAGAAGAACCTGGTTCTTCCGAATGTCAAACAATCAGGATCTGAACAAGGAACTTATGAAGGGGCAACAGTAAGTTAATTATTTATGGGTATCTATATTTCTGCCTCTTTCTGATTTGTTTTCCTATCTAATCTTTTGACAAAGCATCTGTCAATAATAAATATTTAACTGTTGTCACATGTCCTTTAATTGGAGTTTACAATCATAATCAGGTTTTGGAAGCAAAAGCTGGATTCTATGAGAAGCCAATCGCAACACTGGATTTTGCATCACTATACCCTTCAATTATGATGGCATATAATCTATGTTACTGTACCTTGGTAATCCTTCTGACTTTAACAATTCTTAGTGGTGTTATTATCTATTGTTCGCATCCTATCAATTTGAGGGTGCTATACTCATGTCCTTGTCTTTGTTGGTTTCTATCAAGGTGCCACCTGAAGATGCACGTAAACTGAATCTTCCACCGGAATGTGTTAATAAAACTCCATCAGGGGAAGCATTTGTTAAGTCAAGCTTGCAAAAGGTTGCCTTTTCTTGTTTCTAGTGACTATCACCAAATTATATCATTTTTCATATGATGCCAAGCCTTTTGTTCTGCATCATCCTAGCTAAGTTGTAAGTGCAACAAATATGTATTACAGGGGATACTCCCAGAAATTCTTGAAGAGCTTATTGCTGCCCGAAAAAGAGCAAAGTTGGATCTAAAGGTAACTGCTCTGTTGTTTGTGCAGAAATTCAGAACATGAACACTGCATCATGTGTACTGCCTTCAACAATTTTACATAGCCAATTTTAGAACTGCCGAGCTTGTTATGACTGAAACCTGTGTTGTCTGGTTTAGGATGCTAAGGATCCTCTGGAGAAGGCTGTTCTGGATGGTAGACAGCTGGCATTAAAGGCAAGCTTCTTACCGCCGGTTTATTTAACAGTCTGTTACAGAAAAATAATTCGAACCTTTGCTGATTATGAGCAGTATTCTCTTTGCTGACTTTTATTTCTTTTCAATTTCTGCTGTCTCAGATAAGTGCAAATTCCGTGTATGGGTTTACTGGAGCCACAGTAGGGCAGTTACCATGCTTAGAAATATCTTCCAGTGTAACAAGCTATGGTATTCACCTTTACCATGTTACATTTTAGAGATTCAGATTTTCTTTTATGGTCAGTTTGAAGTTTCCATCTATTTATTTTATTTCTGTTTTTTCTGACCGATGTCTCTTCTTGAAGGCCGTCAGATGATTGAACAGACAAAGAAACTTGTAGAAGATAAATTTACAACATTAGGAGGGTATAAACATAATGCAGAGGTACATTTGTTAATAGATTACTTTTGGTGTTTAAGAGTCTGGAGTGAATATGAGATTTGTCTTGGCTTGCTTGCATTTGACTGACAATGATGCCATTAGGTTATTTATGGAGACACAGATTCCGTTATGGTGCAATTTGGAGTTTCTGATGTAGAAGCTGCAATGACATTGGGGAGAGAAGCAGCAGAATATATTAGTGGGACTTTCACTAAAGTGAGTGATCTTTCTGTGTCACTATTGATTCCTTCTTCCAGGTGCATGGTGTGAGGTTGAAGATTAAAATGTCTTCTAAAATAGTTATCACAAGCTTCAGTTCAACTGAACACCTCTCATTTCTTGACGTGTATTTATGTCAAAAAGCCCATCAAATTGGAGTTTGAGAAGGTCTACTTCCCATATCTGCTCATTAGCAAAAAGAGGTATGCTGGTTTGCTGTGGACAAGTCCACAAAAATTTGACAAAATGGACACCAAAGGTAAAAAAAAAGCAAAAAAAAAACATTATGTCTATAAGCAACGTACATCGTTTCCTTTTTTTTCTCTGACTAAACACATCATATGTGGCTGACAGGAATTGAAACTGTCCGAAGGGATAACTGTTTGCTGGTTAAAAACCTCGTGAACGAGTGTCTTCACAAAATACTAATTGATAGAGATATTCCTGGTGCGGTTCAGTATGTTAAGAATACAATTTCAGATCTTCTCATGAACCGTGTTGATTTATCCCTTTTGGTGATTACTAAGGTAAAGATCTTTTGCTTGGATTCTTGTCCATTTGATTTTTGCATCGCATTGGGGTGGATGGTAATGGTAAAAGCTATATTCAAGATTATCATAAAGGGACACCCTTTTTCAAAAACTTATGCCCTCTCTTTTGAACTATGAAACTGTTCTTATGTTTCTGGACCTTCCAACACTGTCATCACCTGATGTTTCCTAGTAGTAGAGACGTTACTTCAATATTTTATTTGTTTCTTTCTTAGTGGTGAAGGAAGAAATTTATAAAAGAGTATCAAAATATTGTAACTCCATATCAAAAGTATTGAGGTGACTGAATTGGGAAACACTTAATGGTCAGATTTTGAGAATAAAAATGCAGTCAGAAAAGAAAAGAACTCGTATATTTGGAGTCTTTGGTATCTCTGTGCCATTGATGAAATATTTCTGACTCTGATATGACAGGGTTTAACTAAAACAGGGGATGACTACGAAGTTAAAGCAGCACATGTGGAACTTGCTGAACGCATGCGCAAGGTTTGTATAGCTTGTTATATTTTTTACCCATCATTGCATTTCAAGCTTTGTTTTTAATGATGCATTGAAATATATATTGACCTCACCAAATTGTATACTTATCATAGAAGAAGTCACACTCCTTTAGCAAGTTCATGGCATTCCAGTGTCACTTGTACTCTTTAAAACTGAAAAGTCGAAGTACTAGGAGTAAGATATTATTTTCTTGTTCATATGTAATTGACAGAGAGATGCTGCAACTGCACCAAATGTTGGGGATCGAGTTCCGTATGTAATTATAAAAGCAGCCAAAGGTGCAAAGGTAACTTTCATGTTAACCTTGTGTGCTATTCCCATAAAATGTTGAGTCCATTCTTTCTTACTGTCTTATCCTGATTTTGATGCTAACTAGGCCTATGAACGGTCAGAAGATCCAATCTACGTGCTTGAGAATAACATCCCTATAGACCCGAATTATTACCTAGAGAACCAAATTAGCAAGGTTAGTCTTTTTCCTCTATTTGCAAGGTAAATTAGCATGTGAGGTTGCTCTGCAAGTTTTTAGCTATATACCCCTCATTCTTCTAGTCAGAGGTTGAAGCAAATGTTGTTTTCAGCCACTTCTAAGGATATTTGAGCCGATCTTGAAAAATGCTAGCAAGGAACTTCTCCATGGAAGTCACACGAGGTCAATATCGATTTCTACTCCTTCAAACAGTGGCATAATGAAATTTGCCAAGAAACAATTGAGCTGCATTGGTTGCAAAGCCTTGATTAGGTATTTCCCAGATGCTTGCTATCCTTTCGATCATGTTCCCGTTTTAAAGAATAAGTGGGTCCTGAGAAAACTTGATTAATTTCTATTGTTCATTCTATCATGATCCAAGCATGAGCTTTTTGCCTGCGATCTTCGATATAACAAAGTTTTATTCCTGTCATTACTTATCCGATTCCATACATGGGGCTGACTGATGGGTATTTGGTTGAAACCAGAGAGGGAACACTATGCTCACACTGCAAAGGAAGAGAAGCTGAACTATACTGCAAAACAGTTTCCCAGGGTAAGACGGTACCATCTATGCTTCTCATTTTAGAATTCTTGGCCAGTCTGAATATTTGAAAGTTTTTCTTGTCGATTCAGTGTCAGAGCTAGAGGAGCTTTTCGGGAGGCTGTGGACTCAGTGTCAAGAGTGCCAAGGCTCTCTTCACCAGGATGTACTTTGCACCAGGTGTTTTGTTGTTTTGTATTTTTTTCAAAAATTCTGTCCTTTACTTTGTTCAGTTTTCTTTTCATGGAAAATACTTGAGCTGTGACTAACTTTGCGCATTGCGATTGCCGTTCATTCACCACAATCTTGGGCAGATGCTTATGCACAATGTGGAAAAAGCATAGCACTCTTTTAAGACTGTTATAATTTGTGCTATGAATTTTTGACCGAATGGCATTTGGCAACTTATCTTTTGAGTTTGTTTTTTTTTAATTGCAGCAGCTTATATACTGTATCTCTGATGGTGTTTTGCATATTGGTTTCTTCTGATTGTTTTATATAGTCGGGATTGTCCAATATTTTACCGGAGAAAGAAAGCACAAAAGGACATGGCTGAGGCCAAGCAACAGCTCGACAGGTGGAACTTCTAAGTATCCATTCCAGTTGGTTTGTCTCTCTTCTCCTCTCCTCTGTACTTTGAATGTCATAAAAGGAAGAGAAAGAAAGAAAGAAACTGTTTGTGTTTATGGGTAGAGAGAGAGAGAGAGAGAGAGAGAGGGAGGGGTTTCCCATTCGGAGACAAATCAGAACTGAAGGCTGGAATGATTTGTGTGATAGAAGAAGGGCTTTTTTTCCTTAATGTTTCTCATTGAATTGCTTCTAGGAAGAAAAAGAGCTTCTGTTTGTGGATCCACTTCCAAAATCCTCGTGAAGGCTCCTTCCTTGTGTTGACCAGTCTCTGTCATTGTTAAAATGATTTTTGTTTGTTGTTAAAATTTTTTTATATATAATGCAATTTTATAAATCTGTCTGACAAGATTGGCTGAATCTTGTGTCCATGTCAATGGCTTACTCTTGTGTGTGTATATATATATATATATATGTCAATTTGCATGCCTTGCTTGGGCTGCCAGTGCCCAGTGGTAGTATTCTATCCAAGCACAGAATTCTATCATCTAACAATAATATATTATTCAATTAGATACAATTTCTAACAGCTATGTACATTTTATTTTCGTTTTCGTTTTTTAAGAAAAAAGGGAGAATTCTTACAGTAAAACCAATCAAGTAGTCGATGACTCATTCTTGGAATCAAGTGAATATGCAGTCACGTGTAGTATATATATATATATATATATATATGTATATGTATATGTATAAAGCCCTCGACTCGACTTGTTCATATGCAGAGTCAATATGAATTCTTAAAGCCCTGTATTTATTTTATTTATTATTTATGATATATACAACGACGTGAGGAAAGCTTCCGGGAAGAGAGAAGAGTCCATTGACCAACTTTTGCGGGGAACTTGGTACGTCTCCAACGGTTCAGAAAAAGGCCATTCGTCATTACACCAATTTAATATATATATATATATATATATATACACACACACACACACATCAGAAACGCCATTTGTTTGATTCTTGTACCTTCTCCAATCACACACCACTATTCTTCTTCTCCTTCTTCCTTCTTGTTCCCCATTTCAATGTCTTATGCAAAAGAACTTGCTGCTGCGAAGAAGGCCGTCTCTCTCGCTGCTCGTCTCAGCCAGGCACGATCCTCCCTCTCTCCCTCCATGATCAATCCTTCCCTTTTTTCCTTGATCTGTTTCCTTTTTCGTCCTTATCAAATTGTTTGTGCGTATGTGAATCTGATGTCGATTGCCCCCCCCCCCTTTTGGATTCAATGTTGAATGTGATTGCTTCTTATGAGTGAGATGAGTATTCTGGCAATGTACGGATTAGGGTGTGATCTCGATTTTGACTGCAGATTTTTGTGTCTGAAACCAAAGACAAACCCGTTCGTTTCTGCAGATTCTTGTGTCTAATCGTTTCCAGTGTTTGTCTTCGTGGAGTCGATCGATGGCAATTGTTTAATCCGTTTCTTGTGCTAGTTCATCTCCGTTGTGTCAAACTGTAATTGGTTTGAGTTCCTCAATTGTTTCCAGAAGAAGAAGAAATCTGTGAAATTGCTGAATGCCAATTTTTTTTTTCCGGAAACCCAATAAAGTAGTGTAATTGCTTCTTCTTATGCTTGGAATGTTGAAACTAAACCGATTAGAAGTGTTTTGTTTGAACCAGAAAGTGCAGAAGTCTCTGTCTGAAACAGACATTTGGACGAAATCTGACAGCAGCCCGGTTACCGTTGCTGATTATGGTTAGTCGTCAACCTTTCCTGTGAATTCATTTCTTCTCGTTCAATGTCTGATAACAACACTCTCATCCAAGTATGGATTCGTGGTGTTAATTCTACAGTTTCATATACAATCATCTCTACAACTAGCCGGCCAAGATGCATTAGTCCCTCGACACCTGTGCTTAAATCACCTTTCTTGGTTCTGAAATCAGACAGAGACATGTCGTCTAGTTCCATGATGCTTCTGTTTTTCCTCTAATGTTATAGGATGATTTTCAGGCTCTCAGGCAATCGTCAACCTTGTGCTGGAAAAGGAACTCCATCCCGAACCGCTC